AGTATTAAAAGTTGATAAATAAATTTAGCGAAAATTAAGGCTATTAAAAGGTATTAAAGGGCATTTTCCAAGGTGTTACATTTTGTAGCTTGTTTTCAATAAGTATATCAATGGTCCAAAGAGGTTGTATTCTACAGTCTGCCTGAATGTAATCATTGCGTAGGTGTGTAGTGTGATTCTGTGTAGTTTATTTATCCCGTTGGATTTGACGTCATCTGAACAGGACATCGCGCTCTCACTGCTTGATAGCGCGCAAAGGTCCGTTTACGCCGGTTGCTAAGCAACATCGTTATGGGGAAATGCAACTCTGCGTCCAAATGGTTGGAAGATAAGGAGGAAGGACAATCAATACTGTATATAGTCTATGTGAGGTGAAATGTGTCGCCAAGGTAACCGGTTAAAACTCCAAGGGGAAAGGGTCCAAAGATCCAAAAATACTTAAAGTTCCAAAAACACCGTAAATTCCAAAAATACTTAAAGTTCCAAAAATACTTAAAGTTTCAAAAATACTTAAAGATCCAAAAACACCGTAAATTCCAAAAATACAAATGGTTGGAAGATAAGGAGGAAGGACAATCAATACTGTATATAGTCAATGTGAGGTGAAGTGTGTCGCCAAGGTAACCGGTTAGAACTCAAAGTGGCGATGAGGTCTTAAAAAAGGTCTCTAAAGGTCTTCCATCTGACTTCAGGATTCCTGCATACTGAATACCATATTCCTTTTGGTCTCTTCCAGGGCATTAGGGCGCGCATCCTGGAGACGTTTGTGATGCTTTTCCTGCTGGCTCTTCTCATCCTGGGCATTGTGTGGGTGGCATCAGCGCTTATAGACAACGATGCAGCCAGTATGGAGTCACTTTACGGTACGTTGATACAATATTCTGTGTCATTTTTGCTGATAAATCCCTGTTTTTGTGTGTTGTGTGTGCATTAAGTGTAAACATTGAGCTGCAGGTTCATTAGTTTAGCATAAAGACTAAAGGGCTTGTGGTTAACCAGGAGCTGTTTCCCCTAATGTTCCCTTTCTTTTAGATCTTTGGGAATTTTACCTCCCCTACCTGTACTCCTGCATATCTCTGATGGGAGGACTGCTTTTGCTCAGTAAGCCATTACATTTCTCGTATTATACATGATTTTAAAAACCTCCTAACTAACGTGGCGCTCGTGTTAATTCAATAGACTAAAGATTGAAGCGGGTCTCTTTGTTTCTGTGCAGTGTGCACTCCTGTGGGACTGTCCCGGATGTTCTCCATCATGGGCCAGTTACTCGTGAAGCCGACAGTAAGTCCTAAATATGTTTGGTTATTCTGTAAGTGGCTTTGATCCTCGTGCTCTAAAAGATGTCAGGCGGCCATTTAAACGTGCGACACAGGACTACAAATACATCATCAACTCATCCTCCCATCTGCCATCTCTCCAGTCCCACTTTGGGCCTAATTATAACCCATTTCATCCCCCCCCACCCCTCTCTTTAGATCCTGGAGGACCTGGATGAGCAGATTTACTGCATCCATTTGCAGGAGGAAGCCCTTCAGAGGAGATTAAACGGTATGTCTGTGGGAGACGTGTTGGCACATTATAGGGGAGGGGAAGGGTTGATGGAGCGCGCCACACTGGAATCAATTAGCATGGAGAATTCAGCCACACACACAACGGTGAAAAACCCACACACACTCGACAGCGAACTTTTTTTTCATCGTCTAACTTTGTGCTAAAGGGCAGAGCGCCACGGCAGGGACCATATTTTATGTTGAGGAAGTTTTAAAGGATCCATTTAAGCAGTACAGGTGTCACCGTCTCTGCTGGAAATGATCGCCTCGTTTGAATGTCAGCCGGGGTAATAGGATGGAAATGAAATCTTTTACAAGAACCTTTTGGCTGGTTCCCGTGGACATTAGAGAGACTTCTGAGTGACTTCTGGAAAGGAAACGAGGACAGGGACAAAAGGAAAGTTTAAAAGAGTTTCAGGACAAGGTGATATTTTTCTAGCCTGCATTTCCTTTTCACACACAGCCCCCCGGATTCCTTGCTTGACGTTGAATTATCTCAGGAAGTATTTGGGCCGAGTTCCAAAAGCTACTTTAATATTAACTCAAGCACGCAACCAAGTGTACAGATGCGAGTAAATCCAGAGTGTGAGCGTCCTTTCAAACCCGGGAGGTAAAGGAGATCTGCCTGATAACGATTATGTTTTCAAATGCCACACCGGACACATCCATAGACTTCCACTAAGGCGTATGGTTCCCTCTCTGCTTTGAACTGACTGATAAAATAACTGTAATCTGTTCCTTATCGTCTGCAACACCGTTTGATCTTTACACGTCTCTGTGAGGCCCACAAACATAACTGTGGCGTTCGTTTGGAAAGCTGCGACACACACTTTTAATACAGAAATGTAGGAACAGAAGGATGTTGACATGAATATAGTGGAGGGGAAACTGGCTCCCTTTGATCTGCGTTAAGTAGACGGCAGTTCAGGAGCAGTTCACAGGACACACTCCACAGGAGAGCTATGGTGTCTTCATGCTTTACCTGAGTCCTCTCAGATTATCCTCCCAAATCCCCAAATCAGTGTTTGTTTACACATCTGGGCTTTTGTTTGTGTATTTCTGAATCTGAGCAGAAGGTTAGGGCTTAAATTGCCTGATTGCTTTCTTGTAAGATGTACCTTAGATACATTTTGTTTGCGAAATGCCTCAATGACTATGGGATTCACTGCCGACACATGACTAAACAACGCCTTTGAAATGCACCGGGGCTTCAGTTTTAACAAGTTACAGATACTCCAAAAGACACAAAGGGTCATTTCCCCAGGGATGCTACACGCGGGCGTAGAGAGCCAGCAATGAGTTCAGAGTAATGCTGGTTCTTCTGTTGAATCACAAAACAGTGTGCGTAACTGGCCACGTCCAATAATATAGATCCAAAAAGCATCAGGAGATGAATCCTGCTCGCTGAAACAACTTGTCCGTGCCTCAAATCGTTCAAGTTGTCTGAACGACAAGTTGAAAAGCATCCAATTAAATAATGCTTCTGATTTCCTCGCGATATCAGCTTTGAAGATATTTATGGAAACTAAACGAGTCGCTGAGAGGCCTGTTTGCTATTGTATGACACGCTATCAAAAAAAGCCCTGTGTCACACACACACACACACACACACACACACACACACACACACACACACACACACACACACACACACACACACACACACACACACACACACACACACACACACACACACACACACACACACACACACACACACACACACACACACACACACACACACTGAGACACACACACACACACACACACACACGACCCAAACCATTGCATCAAACAAATATCTCATAATAATACAAACCATTACCAAAATATAAAGTAGTATAAAACTAATTTGTATTCCAACGAAATGCTTTACTTTGTACGTTTCATGGCTCCTACATTATGTAAAAGTGCAGTGTTGTGTACACACACACACACACACACACACACACACACACACACACACACACACACACACACACACACACACAGCTGCCCTCTCAGACCCCGATCACAGAGTCCAGATGCTCTGCGGCACGATGACCTTGGTGCCGGTGTTGTCTCCGCATGGTGTTTAGCATGTGTGTGGATGACGTAATCTTTTCGCCTGAAGGTTGGAGAGGATACGTTGAATTACTCCGGGCCTTTCCTGGCTGCCAGAAGCCTCACTCAGCATCTCTGCCGGCTGTAACTCAGTCTATACGTGATGCTGCCAGCAGGATATATTTAACTCCAGTCAGGCAGTGATGTCATTGAAGATACTGCAGTTAAAAAAAAGTGAGGATATTGTTCCTTGTCATCCTGACGATGTTCTCTGGTTATTAGGAAGCTACTGATTATTTGAATAGTGATTTATCCGTGTTTGGATGTGTTCATTCAGAGGAGCTCATTTACGGCTGAGCAGGTTTTTGCTTCGGGGTTAGTTTCTGCAGAAGAAGAACAGCTGAACTGTCCGTGACATTTCCTGTTTTGTTGTGACTGCATACGCTCGGAGGGTTGAAACTTTCCCCTGCTCAGATCCCAGGACACACTGCTCACTTTCTGCTGCTGCTCAAAGACATCCAGACAGGGCGTGTCGTAATCGCACAGAAGATTTGATCAAAGTGATTGGTCCGTCCCTCCTGCAGCTCAGATGAAAGATGGTATTTTTAAGTAACGTTGTAACACTGAACTAATTGGTCTTGATCTGCCAATCACCCCAGGGGTTGCAAATGGATACTCCTTCACTTTGGGCCCTCGGGAGTCTTTACGCTAGAGCACGGAGCTGGAAGGAAAACACAGTCAGATAGATAAATTAGCCTCAATGAGCTGGGATTGTGGTTTTCCTGGAGAATCCCTTGCTGTCTTCTCAACCAGTCGTGGCATGTGTGAGACGGATCCTGACACAAGAGATTATTTCTACCTATTCAGTGTTCACATTGTTTTGTGCTCAGAAGGATTTACTAATAAAGATAATTCTGATAGTCTGGCAGATACAGTTTACACATCAGCCAAGAGCGATGCCTTTATATGTTATCTGTTATAAAACACGACACCTTACATTCGTTAACTGACAAATACATTCAATTAAAGAGGCCCTATTCTGCTTTTACATCAGCAGGAGAGGACTCTTTAAAGTAGAGACACTACATGCTGATATACACCTGAACATCAGCAGGAGAGGACTCTTTAAAGTAGAGACACTACATACTGATATACACCTGAACATCAGCAGGAGAGGACTCTTTAAAGTAGAGACACTACGTACTGATATACACCTGAACATCAGCAGGAGAGGACTCTTTAAAGTAGAGACACTACATACTGATATACACCTGAACATCAGCAGGAGAGGACTCTTTAAAGTAGAGAAACTACATGCTGATATACACCTGAACATCAGCAGGAGAGGACTCTTTAAAGTAGAGACACTACATACTGATATACACCTGAACATCAGCAGGAGAGGACTCTTTAAAGTAGAGACACTACATACTGATATACACCTGAACATCAGCAGGAGAGGACTCTTTAAAGTAGAGACACTACATACTGATATACACCTGATCATCAGCAGGAGAGGACTCTTTAAAGTAGAGACACTACAACTACATACTGATATACACCTGAACATCAGCAGGAGAGGACTCTTTAAAGTAGAGACACTACATACTGATATACACCTGATCATCAGCAGGAGAGGACTCTTTAAAGTAGAGACACTACATACTGACATACACCTGATCATCAGCAGGAGAGGACTCTTTAAGGTAGAG